AAAGTGCAATGTTGCCTTTAATTTGTAGGTTTATTTTCATTTCAATCCATAATACCTGACAAAAACTCACCACTGGAACGTCACGTCATATGACTCAAATATTTTTTTGCATTAAATACGCATTTCCACGTTGGTACTACGATAAATGGTCATGTAGGAAATCGGTCGAGAAATAGTTGTTCTAGGAAATGCGTATAAAAAACTTGTAAGAGCATTTGTTATAGATTGATAAAAATACATATCTACTTAGGGATCGCAAATTTATTCAATTGATTTCTAGGAATTTCGTCGTTTCTTATTGTTCTATGCAATACAATGTTTTACAAAATTTCATGGTTTTGTCACTTTCAATTTTACTGTTTCCTAGTTTATTTTAGTTAAGGTCTATTAACATTATAATTACTGTCATAAATATCAAGTTTCCTAAACCAACATAACGCTGTTTTTAATGCATAATTTTGCGGCAATACTTTTTACGTGAGATATTTCACCAAGTTGAATGGCAATACACATGTACGAGGTGTGTTCAGAAAATAACGGGAAATGTTAAATTTCGCGGGTTCGGAGGGTCCGGTTGTCATAAAATTTATTATTATGTTGGTATACACGCCCCCGAAGTATGATAAAAACTTTAGCTGTTTTTATTGTTTACTTTGTCTGTGGCAGCCGCTAAGGTTAGACGTGTTTTATGAGCTCGGCGATTTTTCATTCGTTAAAAGAAATGGATCAAAGAATTTGTATCCAATTTTGCTTAAAAAATGAAATAAATTTTGTGAAATGTTAACATAGGCCTATAGTGAGTCTGCTATAAGTAAAACAAGAGTTTACAAGTGGTATAAGAGTTTCCAAGATGGCCGTGAAGACGTTAAAGATGACGAAAGCCCCGATCGCACAAGCACATTAACAACCGATAAAAACATGGAAAAAGTGGAAGAAATGGTTATAAACCATCAGAGAAGTCGCTGATGATTTTGGTATATCGATTGATGAAATTTTTTCGAATGTTTTGGGTATGAAACGCGTGGCAGCAAAATTTGTTCTAAAATTGTTAAATTTTGAACAAAATTTTTGGCCAAAAACAATACTGTAATGATGCCTCAGCCTCCATATTCGCCAGACATGCCTCTGTATTACTTTTTCCTATTCCCAAAAATAAAGAGAACCTTAAAGGGCCGTCGTTTTGCAAGCATAGATGACATTAAAAACTCATCGCTGAAAGAACTAAAGGCTATCCCAAAGATTGAGTTTTAGAAGTGTTTCGGGTATTGGAAGAAGAGCTGGCACATGTGCATAATATCCAATGGGGACTATTTTGAAGGCGACAACATTAATGTAGATGAATAAATAAATATTTGTTTCAAAAAACTAAAATTCCCGATGTTTTCTGAACACACCTCGTACATGTAAATGTATTTGGTATACCAATATCACACACGTGTTTCTTATGTACGCCACCTGGCATCTTAAAAAGTAAACAATGCGCGCAAATATGTGGAAGTGTATACTTTCAATTGTTTTGACAATAATCCCTGGAGTTCAGTCACTTTTTGGGATGTAAACAATGAGATTTTATGTTGCCAAGTTTAACATTTCACAAAATAGGGTTATTTTATTCAACGGTTTATTCATGGAGCCTACACAAGGAGTCCGAACTTTATGTATACACACCTTAATAAAAGATCATCTACAAAATTCTTTAGTTTAGCCTTTATTATGATTGACCACTGAAGATAATAAAGTACTAGTGTTGACTAAACGGTGTTATGATAAATAAACTGGGCCAAAAAGAAATTGCGCTGACAATAAGTCTCGAGTGCTGATGAATAATTGTTGAGTTAAACGCCTTTTAAATAGTAACCCGTTATTCCACAATGAGAAACGTCCATGTATGAACAATCAGGTTAGTCAGTCTAAGAGAACAACGGATCAATGTTGCCAACAACACTTAAACGAGAACATAAATATCAACCTCATGCCCACTAAATAACAATTAAATCGGCTTTGCTTTGAACCTTCTTGATTTGTCAATGGACACTGCAATTTTACGATATTTATGGCTTGGTTGCTTGGGATATAACTCTATTAGTTTCACGTAAAAGTTGAAGATTTTTTCTTAGCTTCTACACGGTGGTCAAAACTAAAGTATAGGACGAACAAAAATGCCAACCAAAACTGATAGCATAATCTGATTATAGACTCTTTTGGTAACACAAAAATGTATTTATCAAAATCCCAGCTGATCATTTATTAAAGTTTTGCATATTTCTTAGTATTTTAAAATTGTTTATGCCATTTCGATAAAATACTCTAGTACCATTATCAAATGTTTTTAAAAATTTGGCAGATACATGACATTATAAATACAAAATAATGTAAAATACAGTTTGCAATATCTTATTTATTGTTTTAAGGTACCTAATACAAAACTAATATATAACTAAAGATTCTTTGAAGCAAAATCGATTACTGCTTGCCTTAAATTTTCAGTAAAACTTTTTCTTGGGTTTTATTTACATGGAATTGTTCTTAACATTGAAACAGTATTTTTAAATTCTTCAGTCTCTGTACAAACATGCTTCTTACATCTAGCGATATCCCCTAGAAAGGAAGAACATATCAAAACTTTAGTTCGTTCGTCCGTCCTCTTCCCTTAATAATTTTTTATGCCCTTTATATCTTGCCATTTTGCAGATAAAGCACATGCATTCTTGGCTGCCGCGAAATTCTCTAGCAATTTCTAAATTTTGAAAATTTGGCAATTGTGGCTATGCAAAAATACCGTTTTTACCATATTGAAGTAGGTAATTTTGAATCACTTAAGTTAAAGTGTTCGTTTGAAAAAGTCTGCGGCAATTTTTATATTTTCTCAGAAACCCTAAACTCTGAATTTTTCGATTACCAAAAACAATTTTGTCTCCACAGCCAGCACATACCTTCTTTCGATTTTCTTCATGGCTTAACTTGAATTTCGGTTTAATTTTCATTTTAAAATACTATTTTTAACTTTATAAAGTATACATTAAATAAACAACTAAAGCAAAATGTCACTTGCGTTATAACGTATGGCAACTTTTTTCACAACCACCTTAATTATTGTTTTACAAAATTTGCAAGTTGTAATTATTTCATAGACAAACTTCCAGTATTTTTTGTTATAAAAAATATTTAAGATATAAATCTTCGTTTTTTTTTGTTATGTTTTGTTTTGAGTGGTAAAAAATAATAGGTGACTCAATAAATTAATACTGGGGAGTAAAGTAATTTAAATGATACAAAGTTTATTATTTTGCTTAATTTTATTAAAATTGTACAGGTAGTTTTAATACAATAATTGCAAAATAATATATAGAAATAGAAAAACAAAAAAGTTTGCAAAACTTTAAAATTTGATCAGCTGGGATTTTGATAAATACATGTTAGTGTTACCATAAGGGTCTATAATCAAAATATGCTATCAGTTTTGGTTGGCATTTTTGTTCGTCCTATACTTAAGTTTTGACCACCGTGTCTAAGCGGAAAGCCATCTTTACAAAGATTTGCGTTTTTCCTTGCGAGATGGAATTTGCATAATTTTCTTGTTTACGACTGTGCGATTATCTATGTGGCATTCACAGTTATAATTCCTGAACAAACATCAAGATAGGTAGTCTATTAGTTTCCATTAGAAATTTTGCCCACAGACATGCATTGTTTGTAAGAATTTTGACGGTACAGTTACGTACAACCTGACAACGTATAATTTTAATCGATTAGTTTAAACGCCGACAATGTGTTTAAAAATTTAATATTTATTTCAGAATTACACATGCATCCACGTATGTGTAATGGTAAACAACTCCCCATGTTGTCCACCAACAGTAAGTCTTAGAAGTGTTCGAAATTACGCATGGTTTTATTTTTTTATGTTTTTGTTTGGATTTCTTTTAACAGATTTAAGTTTTAATCGATTGTTGATTAATCGATTATAATCGACTAATCGATTATTTTAGTACTATAATAATAATAATAATTATTATTTTAAATAAAGAATGTAGAGCCATTCCACGCGTAACGGATAGGACAGTTGCCTTGTTTTTATTTACAAAATAATATTGTTTTATTATATTACTAATGTCAAATTTTTATAAATAGTTCTAAACTAAAGCTGTTTAACAAGGTTTTTATTTGACAAAATTAGGTATCGTGGTTGACTGTTTAATTCCTTAAAAACTAATAATTTAAAGCGTAACGGACGGGACTTCGTAATGGTCCCGTCCGTTACGCTTTAAATTATTAATTTTTAAGGAATTGAACAGTCAATCACGATACCTAATTTTGCCAAATAAAAACCTTGTTAAACAGCTTTTGTTTAGAACTATTTATAAAAATTTGACATTGCTAATATAATAGAACAATATTATTTTGTAAATAAAAACACGGCAACTGCCCTATCCGTTAAGCGTGGAATGGCCCTGTACGTACACTTATAAATTATGCCCAATATTTAATTGCTATACCTAATTATGAAAACGTAATAATTATTATAATTAATTAATTGTTCTAATTAAAACAATCAATCAGATCAATCAAATATGTAAATAAAAATAATATGACCAATTGACAATTTTTTTTAACTAAACAAAACATAATCGATTTAATAATAAGCTTTTAATCAAATAATCAATGAATCAAATAAACGATTAAATAATAATCGATTAATCAAAAAATCGATTAAACAATAATCGATTAATCAAAAAATTAATTAATTAATAATCGATTAATCAAATAATCGATTAATCGAAAAAATTGATTATTTTAGATAATCAATAATCGATTATGAATTTCGATAATCGCCCAGCCCTGTTAATTTTTTTTTGTATTTTAATGCCATACACTTTAAAAGAAAATATTTACTTATGATATAAATATGATGTGTGGTATTTATTTTACTGTTTCTGCATGAATTTTTATTATGCTAGGTACCTAAAATTTTGTTGCTAATTTATATATTTTTGTTTTAGGCTAGGAAAAATATTCTGGATTTATTTGAAGATTTAAGAGATGGACACAACTTGATCACTCTCTTGGAAGTTCTAACTGGCGAACAACTTGTAAGTATATACAACTATTTCGAATACATTTTAGTATTGGATTTAACAATTTTTTTCTATGAAGAATTTTGAATCTCGAGATAAAAGGAATCCTAATTTTATGATATGTATGGGTGAATCTCACGAAATGTTCCCCGATGGTGTTACCCCGTGATATTTAATAACACTTTTATTGTGTTTTGATCTTTCATAATTAAGTAGATATTACAGCTTAAGTTCCAGATTTTTAACTGCAATTCATTATTTTTTACAATGTTTTAAAAGTCTAAAACCTATCCTCCGTGACTGTTACTCTTTCTATGTTACATATATGTTTTCAAATATCTGAGACATACTAAAAATATCAGTTCACTAAGTAAATTAAACACATCCAAAGCAATCGAAAAAAAAATAAAATATTTATACAAATATTATAGAATATTGTAGATAAATTAATGGACAATCGATCACATTTTAAAAAATTACTAAAAAATAGACGTACGTTTATAATATACAGGTTTAAACGAAAATATGTTTTTTACCATAAGTTTAAGACACTCTGTAGAGTGGCAAAACCGTATATTGTTCTAAATTAAGTTTTAATTATCCAGTCACATCTATTCTAAACAGTTTTTGGTTCACCTCGATATATTTATTTTTGTGGAAAATTTGGATTTAAAAAAAATCATTGCAATTTCCAATATTCCATCAGAAAATGCTTGTTAATTGTTTATTTTTAGTTTAGGGTAGTTATACAAAAATATTTTTTTATTGCAAATTAAATTGTCTTTTAAAATACGTAAAAATACACAGGGTGTCCCATTAAAAAATATTTTTGTGAATATTTCGGAAACTTGACGTTCGATTGTTTCTCTGTTTTCACTATTTAAATCAAGAGAAAAAAAAATTCATCCGTAGTTTCATTAAATTTTTGAGGCACGGCCCCAAACAATGGCTGCATTACTTTTTTCTCCGACTGGACATTTATTTTCACAACTATTAACTATTTTTACATTTCTAAAAATATCTTGTAAATTCTTTAATAACTATTTTGATATAAATAACATTTCTCCAGTAAATTATGTACTTATTTGTCTAATGTATTAAATTGTTAAATTATTTACAATAATTAATATTAAATGAAAATTTCCGTTAAATTTATATTTTGCACTTACTGTATTTTTTTTCAAGAGGCAGTTTAACTAAAAAATATTTTAAATTAACTTAATTACATTTAATGGTGACATTTGCCCGTTACTTTATTAAATAAAAATATCATTTAAGATATGCATATTTTAGTTGTGGAAAAAATAACCTCAACTCTAGATTATTAAAATTATATACCGTTGAATACATAATTAAAATTCGTTTCCTGTGTTTTTTTGCTATTTGTGACTCATAATCGGTCATATCTCTAATACAAATCTATCTGCTATCAATCTTTATTAGTGTATCGATTTCGTTTATTTTTAATATGATTAAAAACTGCAATAACATGCTTGTTTTTATTAATTTAATAATGGTTCAGAGCTAGGAGCGTCCCTTAATAATACTTTCAAGAAAATTAGTTTTGCAAATAGACTAAATGTTTAAGTTTATGTTTTATGATGAAGAAACATGATAGGTTGAATTGGTATTCAAGAAAACTTTAAAAAACCATCATTGTTTATCAGTTTTGACCCCAAAAACTCTATTGAACAATTTTCATAAACGTTCTGCAATAAACTTTACATAAACCTGAAAACTCAATTAAAAGGAAAGCAAAACACGAATCTTATTGGTCATTTTCCCGTTTCACAAGTTAAATTACTTAAACCGGCCCATAAAGAAGCTAATGTTATCACCACGAACCGCTGAAACACGAGATGGTTCTTGTCGTCCGCATTCATTCATAAACTGTTTTCCAAGCGTCATTCATTCAGGACATATTTAGTTCAGCTTGTCCATGTCCTTGATGGAGTCACTACTTTCTTTGCATACTAATTCGAATTTTAGCTGTCTGTTAACAAAAATTAAAAGTTATAAATGATTAAATGATGAATGTTCAAAGTGTTGTCTGAATTTTTATAAGCCTTCTATTTTTAAAATTTATTTATTGAAGCATTTTACTGTTTTTTTATTGTGTTTTTTTTAGTTAAAAGCAGGGTTGACAATAGTCAAAACTGTTGAAAAAATGCTAGGTTGTAGTAGAGGACATTTAAGTTTTAGAAAAATTGACGGTCTAGTTTTCGAGTAATTAAATACTCTCCTATATATACAGCCCATGCATGTCTTTAATTAATGCATATCCTCTAACTTGACATTGAAAAATTAATAAATTTTTTTCTTGTATATTTTCTTATGCCTGCAGAAGTCCCACATACATTTTTCTAAACTTTCACTGAACAGTTTTGCAATAATAAACAATAACGTTGACTGTGTCCAACAAAAATTATCAATCTGTCATTTTCGTATAGAAGATCAGGAAACACTGGATTACAAACTCGTGATTATCCTGGAATATTTGGTGACTACCATAATTTTGTTTTTATAGTAAATTATATTGAGATGTCCCCCAAGTGAAAATTATTATTTTTTATTATATAGTCTAAAATGGGGTTTTTGGGAAGCCACCAGGTCTAGTAATAACATAACATAGTGGTTCTGCATTAATGCAAGAATTAATTAAGAAATCATAAATTTTGAATATTAGAGCTTTACGGAGGTTAGGATTTCGTATGTTTTTTTTGTATATTTGAAATAAGTTATTAAATCTTTTGACACCTTAATATTTTTTGAAAATACAATTGTACCTACATAAAATATTTATAAAAAAAATCTACTTACTGAGATATTACACTTCACGGTGGATAGGTTTTTAAATAGCAAATTAATGAACTTAAACTTTTGAAATATAAAACAGCAACACTCTCATCTGCATATAAATTCTAACTGACCTTCAGGAATCACATGCATCTATAATGTCGTAAACAGAGGTTTTTGCTTATTTAAAATGATTAAAGCGCCATCCGTTGCATAAAATTTAAAGCAAAAACAGATAGAATCAATTTTTGTAACACCTACATAAATGGTTATAAAAATTATTTCTCTTAATTTTTAATAATATTTTATATTTGATTCGATTGCTTTGGATGTGTTTAATTTACTTAGCAAAATGATATTTTTAGTATGCTTTTACTACCTCAGATATTTGAAAACATATAGGTTAACCTAAAAAGAGTAACAGTCACGGAGGATAGGTTTTAGACTTTTAAAACATTGTAAAAAATAATTAATTGCGGTTAAAAATCTGAAACCTGAGCTGTAAAATCTACTTAATTATGAAAGATCAAAACACAATAAAAAGTATTTTCTGTTAATTTATTTTTGTTTCCCATACCTTTTTTAATATTTTTTTCTTTGTTAGTTTTACAATTCGTGTTCACAACTCATTTTAAGTTTTTAAATAACACTGCATATAGAAATGTCACTGCAACTATCCAAAGCGATAAGCAATTTTTTTAAATTTTCAAAACTAAGCAAAATATAGCACTTTTTGTTAAGCCAATCAGATCTTGTTATTCATTGTTCTTATTAAGTTTATTTTACTCCAATTTTGCGAAAATAGTTTTAAATTGTAACAAATGATGTAATCAAAATTCCATATTTCAGAAAAAAAATATTAAAATGGTCACATAGGTTTTTGTTAGAGTATACAAAAATGCAAAAAATGTTAAAAAATTGTTAAATTGTTTTTCACATAAGAAAATAATAATAATAATTTTAGGTATCAACTATACCCACATGTTTTTTTTTTGTTTACTACCAACATATTTATAATACAGATAACACCTTGAAAATCCACGCACTAGAAACCATAGGTTATAATTAATATTGACACTAACCAAAATTAAAAGTGTTAATAACAGCCGTATTTCCTTAAAAAACTGCTAATATGGCAAATATACCGGTCCTGTGCTTTAATTTATGTAAAAAATTACGCAAACCTTAATTGGGTTATCCCGTTTGCATTCTGTTATAAAACTTATTTACAAGATTATTTGCCTATTCCATAACACCGGTAATTATCCTTTTTTGTCCTTGACATGATTCTTAAGTTTCAGACGCTATTTTCTTTTTAATCGGATTCAGGTTGATGTTTACAAAATAACGATATTTATTACTGGGCAATAGATACTCGTTTTTGGATAAAACTTTTGTTGTTTTATACCTAATATGGTAGACACTGACAAATTGATTAAAAAAAAATTCTGGCTTAAACATTATCAAGGTACTTTATTTACAATAATGCAATATGTTTTTAAATGAATATTAGTCATGGATAATTTGTAGTCCTTTTATTAAAGTTTTTGTGGTATTATTTTGTTTAATAACACTTTTGTCCATTTGATATTATAAATACTTTTTAAAAACCATTTGTATATGCTTAAATAGGTTTAAACTTTGATTTCTTAATTAATATATTTACAAGGTTTACTTGAAAAGTGTCTAGAATCTAACAACGCAAAAAATACAGTGTTCCAAAATAATCGTCCCAGTCAAAACCGAACACATTGTATAGATGAAAATGTATACCATATTTAAAAAAATATTCTCAAAAGTAGTTTCTGAATTTATTTTTTATTATTATTATTATTATTTAATTTTCATTCAATGAAAAATAAAAAAAAATATAGATTTTAAAACTGTTTTATTTTTTTTTAGCCAAGGGAGAAGGGTCAGATGAGATTCCATATGCTGCACAACATAGACACTGTTTTAAATTTTCTAAGATACAAAAAAGTCAAACTAGTAAACATCAGATCCGAAGATATTGTTGATGGAAATCCAAAGTTAATTTTGGGGCTCATATGGACAATCATTCTCCACTTCCAGGTTAGTTTTTTAACTTTTATTTATATAATATTACAAAACAAAAAATGCATACGATTGAGGCCTTTGCTAAATAAACTTTAGCTTATAATAATAAAAAACTTATAATTTACACAATTATATGGCGTGTTTTTTTATTGATTTATCATTAGTGGCATCTGTGGGCTTTAGCATGTTGTAAATTAATGAAAAACAAAATCTAATGCCCTAAAATATTTTTATTTTTATGCTAACATAGGCTCGGAAGGTAAGATCATTGCTTACCAGTGTAAAATAAATAAAACAAAATATTCATATGTTTAAAAGTAGTGTTTTTTGTATCGTTAAAAAGGAAAACTAACAGTTTTGCTAGTCGCTGCGAGATGGCGCTTGATTGCACTTATATTTTTAAATAATAGTTAATACTTTTTATATCTCAAGACGCGTCATGACGTAATAAATAATCTTTTAAATGTTTTTCGTAACTTTTTTTTAATATTTCAATGACATATTTACAAAATAAAACAAAATTTTTTAACCATATGGTCCACGGATTGTGTAGGAATGTATTCATACAAAAACCATATTATTTATTACACCTTATTGACTGTGTTGCCCAATATTTTCGCCAAATTTAATCCGGGGTTATTCAAGGGTACCTTATAAGGAAAGAGGCGTACAAAAATAGCGTGGGACCCAAAAACACATTCAGTTTTTTTTTCAATTTATTTTTGACGAATAAATCGCTGACATTTCATTGTTGCAATCATTTTTTGAATTATTAAAACGGTTACAAAATTATTATAAAGAAAAGCAATATTTATTTTAAGAAATTTAACAGTAAAACTGTTAAGAAAGAGAGTGTAGATTATTGCAGCAAGTGCTGATTAAAATTATGTTGAACGATTAAAAAGTTTATTTAAAGTACCTTAATATTTACTAAATATAAATGCATAGGTATATCTAAGAATCTAATTAAATACATAATTTATTGGAAAATATAAGAATTATTGCAACTTTGAGCATATTATACATTAAATATCTTAAAATCAAATAATATATTATAGTATAGTATATATAGTATATATAGTATAGTATACTACACATCAGTGGCGGCTGGTGGATTTTGGGTATACCTATATCTCAATTATTAGATATGGGACCCACACCAAATTTATATGAGTTTATAATGACATTAAATAAACAAGTTCTGCGCAAGCAGAATTTAAATTGAAGTTTGCGAAAAATAGATAACCGAAAATACCTAGAAGTGAATTTCATATATCGACACTTTCTATTTGTACACTGAAAGAAATATATGTTTGTTTTAGCAATGTTTGTGGTTCATATATGGACTACCACATACATTGCTAAAACAAACATATATTATATTTAGGTTTAACATAATATGTTAAAACTAAATATAAAAATGGTTAAGGTAAATATATTATATGTTTGTTTTAGCAATGTATGTGGTAGTCCATATATGAAACATAAATTTCTTTCAGTGTAGAATAACAAAAAAATAATTACAAAAAAATCGACCTGTTAAAAAAATGGCCAAATATTTCAATGAATTTGTTCCATATTTTTGCCGGTCATATGGTCTACATAATATTATAACTTTATCGTATTAATTGCATTTAGTTTTTTTCTTTAAATTTTTTATTTGGATGCAACACTTTTTTTAATTTTGCATTTTACACACTATAACAATGTATTGTTAAATATTTTTTATTTTATTGCAAAACGGTTAAGGATTATACTGCCCAACTATGGAGAAAGGCAGTAACTGCTAAACAATAAATCTGTGGAAAATTGGCATAAACTAAATTTTTATAAAAAGCAGTTGATATTTAATTGATGTATTTAACGTATGAGATAGTTTACTGCAATTTTTATTTGAATTAAGATACAAAATGTCCCTAGCTTTATCATAGCACAAGAAAAAGCATTAGGAATTTTTTTGTAGTTACTGCCTTTCTCTATAGTAGGGCAGTATATCACAATGGTGCATTGTTATTTATTTTAACATCTTGTATAGTTAGTAGGTCATTTTTTGACTAACTAAATTTATGGAAAGATATACATAGACCTAAAAATTCATTCATTTTTTTTTATCTGGACTGCGGCAACGTTGCAAATTTAGGGTTTTGGTTGGTAAATACAGTTGTCAAGTTGGTCGCATTGATAAAAACAAACTAAGCTAGTTATAATTCTAATGGTGGTTATGTATAAATTATTGTAGGTTACATTGTGCAGTTGTCAAGTTGAGTTGTCGAAATTCGTAGTTAAAAATGCAATTAATTTGGCTTTGGTGGTGCTTGGATGAGTAAAATCATATAAAAAAGTAGTTAAATATAGGTTGCTTTCCGTCCCGAAGAGAAAGTATTCCTAGCGGATAATAATCTTCGGTTTGAAAAGAATTTATATAAAAGAAATTTTTTGTGAACGTAAATATTGTCCAATGGTGAATAATGTGAAAATAATGTGTGATGTAATATTTATAAAACCAAATTCGTTACTTTTTAACTCCAAAAATGTCCATAAGGCGATGTACTTTTTCTTCCATTGTGGCCCTCAAAAGGGCTTTTACATTCGAATTCGTTGCTATTATTTTTGGCATAATTATCTTTTTATTTATAATTGACAAGTAAATTATCAATAATAAATATTATTGTCAATTTGACAGTGTCAAAGTATTTAATTAAATTCTTCAGCAGAAATAGGTACCATTTTTAAATACTAAAAATACTAAGTCAAACTGGCATAAGCCACCAACCTAACAAAAAAACACGAGTCCAGATAATAAAAATGAACTGTAAGTTTACTTAGTTTATAATAAACTTTAAAATATAAAGTATTGAAGATTAAATAAAATAAAACTAAAACGAATATAGTTTGCATTTAATATTGTCACCTCTAGTTACAGAAGCTAAACAATAAAATAATTATTTTAAACTTATTTATATAACGCTATTGTTAGGTAAGCGACTTTTATGTAATATCCTCAGACGGCTTAATTGTGCCAAAAAAAAACCATTATTTTTTTTATTTGTAATCCAACACAGGATGTGAATGATTGCAAACTGACATTAATTGTAAATATCAAACAAACTCGTTAAATTTTCCGAATTAATCCTGTCGAGATTCAAACTGTTATCTGGTTTACGAACTTCACGAACTGAGTTCAAAATGTCTTTGTCGTGAGTTTAAAATTTTTATGTTGGCAGCAATGAGGACAATCAATTTTGTTTTTATTACTGAAACCTTCACTAACTAGATTTGATTGCAATTATTACTTTCTTATTTCCTTTTATCAAGTGTTTTTGCGTGACATGCTTCAAAAGTATTTAAGATGAGGACTGCGAGGATAAAAATAGTTACAGGTGCAATTGTACACATAAAATAAAGTAAACATGTGTATGTTGTATTTAAAGTTCAGGGTTTTCCTATATAAAAGAAAATTCTGAAAGGAGATTATATAAAAATATTATCCTTGATTGTGTTGTATACACCTACTTAAATGGTTTATTTTAAAACAATTTGTTGTTTAAAAAAATCTATGAATAAATTTTGATTTATATTATTACCTTATTATAATGACTAGGTATTTGTTTATTTCAACCTACATGTGTTATCGATATTTATGCTTTATTAAAAAATATGGGTTTGTTTTTTAAACCCACATAAATACTTTCAAAATATGAATGAAAAATTGCACCGGACTAAATTAAAACGTTACGTCACAAACGAAGGACCAAACTTGTAAAGTAATTGAGTTATTGAATAAATTTAGGCAAATTTTTAACCATATCATAAAACGCCCACGAACGCAAACAGGTAAGCTCATAAAATGTGAAATGATTGTGTCGTGAGGTCATTATGACATCATCAGTATTATTGTAAAGGCGCTAAGACAGCCAAATTTATGGACCTGGGTCAATCCACGCATGTTAGATCCTAATTAAGTGAAACGTTCTCTTAGAACAAATGTTTTACTACTAATAAATAATTTTTAATTATAAGGTCATATAAATTTGATTAAATTATACCTGCTTACCAATGCTACCATTTTAACACCGTTATAATAGAGTTTGTTGATAAAATTTTGGGGTTTAGTAGAGGGTACTTAAAAGTTGCTAAGATGTTATTGTTCATTATTGCTAAACTATATTTATTTTATTTGCCCTTTTCACAATATTTCCGTAAATGTTGTAGTTAGTTATACTTTCGAAATTTTATTATATTTATTTATGAATAAAATGTCTACATTTTTAATTGTTTTATAAAGCATTGTTTTTGTTAATAAAATTCGATTTTGTGGAAGATAATCCAAACTGTATACATTTGGTCACTATTTCTTGGCACGTTTAATTCACACGGGAAAGTGAAATTGCTTATCTCTTGAAGATTTGTGTTTCTTAAAAAAAATGAAAAATCGTTAGCACCGATTTAAACATGATGGAAAGCTGTGCATTAGCTAAAGGTAGTTTCTGATAATACAACTTTTTGCAGCGATTTTATTGCCTAGAGTGTTCACACGATCAAACCAAATTGACGGAATTTTCTGCTAGAATTGCCAACTTAACCGAAAATTACTGAGTTACATGCTATAAGATAGGCGTTAATTAAATAGATCTTCTATGCAGCCTTTAATTAATACTTACGAGGTGTGTTCAGAAAATATCGGGAATTTTCGTTTTTTGAAACAAATATTTATTTATTGGTCTACATTAATGTGGTCGCCTTCAAAATAGTCCCCATTGGATATTATGCACATGTGCCAGCTCTTCTTCCAATACTCGAAACACTTCTAAAACTCGATCTTTGGGATAGCGATGCGCTTTTAATGTATGCTTGCAAAACGACGGCCCTTTAAGGTTCTCTTTATTTTTGGGAATAGGAAAAAGTCAGACAGAGGCATGTCTGGCGAATATGGAGGCTGGGGCATCATTACAGTATTGTTTTTGGCCAAAAATTTTGTTCAAAATTTAACAATTTTAGAACAAATTTTGTTGCCA